GCTTCTATAGTCGATTTACCCACCACAACGCAATTCCACACAACCTTACCCACTTACACAGGTATAGCATTTACTGACACGCAATCCCTGACAAATATACACATCTCCGGAAACTCAGTATCTATCACTACTCAATCCTCCCAACTCAGGAGGGTCACCAAGCACTGGTACCAATACAAAAGCCTTTGGCAATGCTGTATCTTTAACTTCTATCCACTCTTATAATTCAGCCAATTCTACTAATTCAACAACAAACTTAACAAACTGAATCGGTAAAGTTGAAGCAATATTGAAATGTATTAGCTTTGTTTTGTATAACATTTTGTCTCTTCAAGTCTTTGCTAAATGTATTTGTATATTGTTTACATGATCAAAATAAATTAATAATCAATCAATCAATCATTTCCTTGTCTCCAGCTGATTCTACGACCAAACAAACCACGGCAACTAGCACTTCATCTTCCTCCTTGACTTTGGGCACCAGTTCTTTAACCACAAAGATGAACACCAGTCAGTTTTTTATGTATTTATTTTCTTACTTATTTGTTCATTCATTCATTTAGTATGTGTGTGTTTTGCTGTTTGTTTGTTTGTTTGGGGAGGGGTATTTTTTATTCAAAATTAAATAGATCTTTTACGATCAATATTGTGTTGCTTTAAAAAAAACTCCAGTCATGACATCTGTCTCTCTATCACAGGTGACATGACTGAGAATGGAACCACTAAGGCAAGTCAAATATTCTCCTTCTTCTGTTCACTTATCTATGAGTGTTTTTCATTCCTTCAAGCCTCTTCATCACATGCCTCTTAATTCTCTCAAATACAGATATACTGCCCCTCATTCAACTGTAACTACTCTGACTGCTATTCAATGTACATCAGTCAGAACGCCACTTCGTGTGCTGCCGATAATTGTTGTCAGGTAGGGCAGTCAGCAAATGGCACTAAAAACTAAGAAACTATTTGAGCCATAGCAATTACAAATCCCTCTTTTTAAGGAATTGAGCAGTCAAAAGATTGCATGGTATCTATAACTGACTATTAAAGGGAAAATACATTTATTTTTACTAAATAAATTATCATAGTATAGAAATGAAAGAAATTAGATGCGTCTCTCTAATCTTTCTGTTATATCTCAGTTGTTAAGGCAAACAGACATGTGGTACACTGCCAGCTGCAGCAACTCTTGTGCTGACAGCTGCAAGAATGCCTCTCAGACCAACTGTGCTGTGAACTGCTGTAATTTCACTGGCTGTCTCAATTACACTTTTGCATCCATGATGAGCATAACAACCAATGGTAACTACAACTTTCTTTTGAATCACTTCATTTGAGCATAAATCTTTTATGTTTTACCATGCTCATATGTTTGTGAAGGTTCTCAGTCATCCAGGTCATCGTAGACAAAGGAGCTTGGAGAGAAAAGCATCTGGACTTCTTTAAGTTGCTTTAAGACGTTTCATCTGTCATCTGAGAAGCTTCTTCAGTTCTATGGTCAAATGGTAGAGAGTCCCAGATTTAAGCCTTGTGGGACTGCCCCCCCACCCCCCCACCCCCAAGAGGGACAATGGACCACCTAATGATCCTCTACCTAATTACACGAGCCAAGGGTGAACCTAGCAAGTCTTCAAGCAACTTAAAGAAGTCCAGATGCTTTTCTCTCCAAACTCCTTGAATTACCATGCTCCTGTTGCCTTTACAAATGATCAACTTTTAAATCTTAAAAAAAAAACATCACTGTATATTGTTTTGTTCTTCTCCTTTATCTACTTTTAGGAACTCAAACCACAAAAACAACAACCACGCAGGCCCCTACTACAACTACTACCAGTCAAACAACAGCAAGCAAGGTAAGAACTGCTGGCTGCATGAATGAATCTTTTGGCAAGCAAATGTGCATGCGGGAAGAAGGCTGTGTATCACTAAACAAAACTAATTTGGCCTTTAACACCACAGTCCCCTTTTCTTAAATGTCAGCTACAAACTTCCTCTGTTCCTTGCTTCCAACAGAATCACTATGTTTAAGAAAAGTATTACCTTTTTTTCTAATGATGATTATCTTTGACTGGTTAATAAACTGCCTGTCAACAATTTAACAAGTTAATGGAGTGTGAACTGAGAAACCACTTTGTCCAGCAGTGTAAATGAGACTTGGTTTGAAATAAGCTTTATGTTTCTTGCGCTGCTGTTTTTGTCAGGGAAACAAGTGCAGTTCTGGTACATGCAACGGCGCAAAGTGCTATACAACTTTCACCGAGCTAAAAACATGTTCCGCCTCAGAACCACATTGTCAGGTAAGAACATTCAATAGCATAAATATAACATTCATTCATTTTTTCAGCCTCATTGCAGTTGTTTTTGCTGAGCTTCTACACACTCGTATTTTTGTTTGTGTAGTGCTTTTAAAGCTGACACCGTCTTCATGCTATCCTTGCTTCAGCACAAACTTTGTTATAAATCTATGAATTTACTTTCTGAATTTATCAGAATTTGGAGAATATACAAGAAAAAGGAACCAGGGGGCATAAGATGTACCAATATGAACTCAAAATAGCTTTTTATTTGAATCGGTTAAGGAATAAATTATTTATACAAAAGAATCTGAAAAACAAACATAAGAAGTACCTCTACGATACATTTTATGAGCATGAATAAACAAACTTCATTAGCCTCATATTTACAGTTTTTACCATTCATAGGCCCTCTTTCTCACTCATTGTCTTTGCAGCTGAAAAATGAGTCTACAGATACTGCCACAAAATGGACAGCGGGTTGCACCAACTGCACTGGCTTCACTGCTTGCAAGGCTTCTACCAAACCTCCATGTAATCTGGAGTGCTGCAATGCCACAATGACCTCTTGCCTGTGGTTGAATGGCACACTAAATGTTCCCTCTTTTGCCACAAGAGGTCCATATCTTCACACAGAACTGATAGCTTCCTTACTTTGTATTGTTGCTATCGCTTTTCTGCTTTGAGAACATGCTTGCTCAATTGCTGTGTGCGTTATTAGGTAAGTAGCGCTTTGTGTAAATCCTAGTTTCTCCAAAGTTACAAAGAAAATGTAGAAAAGATATTCATATGAATATTTCTATATTCATATGTAATTGTATAGGTATGGAAATATGGAAAACATTAATTGCAATGTTGATTGTGTTTCTTGTTTAAAGTTTCCAGTCCCGTTTATGTCTGGTTCCAGACCACTGAAATGGCTTTGAACAGTATTTCTCTATGAAATACTATTTTCAGGAATCCAGAAAAACAAGCCAGAAGCAACTTGGCCATCATATTAGTTCACATGTAGGGCACAAGTGATCTTCATAAGCAACAGATTGATAAAGTAAAATAAACTTTTAAGTTATTTTAAACTGCTAAGTACCTTGTTGTACGTTCTGAAATGTCCTTATCTATTGCCATTATTGATATAAGATGAAATCTCTTCTTCAAGCTTTTGTTGTAGTAATGCAACCACAACTATATGCACTTTATAAAACACAAATGTTGTGCTGTAACAGCGAGTTGTCTTTTGAAGGTTTGTTGAATAATTCCTGTAGATGTAACATTAATGACATATGCAAGTCGGTACACTTAGCTACATTTTGTGATTTTGAGGTATTTACTATATGATTTACAAAGTATATTTTGTGGTACATTCATGTCGCATCAATGCTAAATGAAATTAGAATATGTGAATTCTAGTTTTGTGCACTGTACACTATCAAAAATGCCTTAAAATAAAATAAATCTTATGTAATATGTCTGATAAGTTTTTCCCCAGCTACAGCTTTCAGAGTGTACTTAGTGGATCGCGGTTTAGCAAAGTCTGCATTCCCTCAACCTAAGTTCATAAAGTAATCACATAAATTCCCTTGTTTTGTGTTTTTTTATCCATAGGTCCAGTTACCTGTTACTTTTTAGAATAAGCTTTACATTGCAAAAAATACTGACTGTTGCTAGATGGGAAGCCATGTTTTACATGTCTAAGTTATAAGCTGTTCAATGAATTAGTAATTTGAATTTTAGGGCAGCAAAACGTCCCAAAAGATTTGGGACAGAGGCAACAAAAGGCTGAAAAGGTAAGTGGTCCTAAAAAGAAGCAGCTTGAGGAACATTTTACAGCTAACTAGGTTAACTGTAACAGGTCAGTAAGATGCCTGGGTATAAAAAAGAGCCTCTTTGAGAGGCAGAGCTTTCCAGAAGTAAAGACAAGAAGAGTTCCACTAAACTGCAAAAAACTGTCTACAAATTGTGGAATAATTTCACAATTTAATGTTTCTCTACTTAAAATTTCAATATCTCATTATCTACGGTACATAATGTCATTTTAAAAAATCCTAAGAATTCAAAGAACTTACTGTGTGTGAACCTCAAGGCTGAAGATCTCTATTCAATGGCAGTTTTGCACAGGTTAAAGAAGACTTCTAGAAAACACTGTTTGTGAACATATTTCACCATACCGTAGACAAATACAGGTTAAAGCTCTATCATGCAAAAAAGAAGCCATATGTGAACATGATCCAGAAATGCTGGCATCTCCTTTGGACAGAAGCTCATTGATTGGGGAAAAGCAGAAAACTGTTCTGTGTTCAGATGAATTTTGAAATTCTTTTTGGAAAACGTGTAAGATGATCCAGCCTAAAGAGCACAGAGACCACTGTGTTTGTGATCAGCAGTGAGTTTAAAAACCTGCAATTCTGACAGTTGG